GCAAAGCTTTCATGGGATACATTACCCATTAGGCCTCGACAGGTTGGGTTACCATACATCGAAATCTGATCTACTATGAGATACCTCATCCAGATGAATCAACATACCAAGTCCCTAAGGGAGACCGCTGGACCCCATAATCCAACACTTGTTATCTTGCTTATTTTCATTTTGTTGCAATTTATTTCATGTTTTTTATAGCTGTTTGGATTAATTTTGTTGATCATGGTCTATTTTTTATTTATTTGCACACTGTTTGGATTCTTAATTTGTTGTTTTCTACAAGTGCACAGGCTGTACAAGTAATAATAGTAACTTTTCAATCAAGATATCATCCCACAGAGATTAGGTAAAGAAATTCTTAAGCTAAATACCTATTATCCATATATCCTTATAAAGTTGGCTCAATCAAATAAAGAAAACATGGCATTAAACTAACTAAAAAAATAAAATCAACCAAAGCATTTAACACAAGTATGGTATGGTGTAAAATTGCAAAATGTAAACTAAGTAAAATAAAGTGCAAAAATAGTAGGTAAATTGAAATGCAATGAACTAAACATGATTTAAAGTAAAAAAAATTTGAAATGCAAGCAATAAAAAAAATTTGCAAAATCTAAGCTAGAACATGAAAATAAAAAATATAGCAAAATTTGGAAACTAGAATTTCAAACTAAAAAATTGGATTTAATTTTTGTAAAATCAAATGAATATGAACTAAAAACTAACGGTACATTGAAGGAACAACATGAGAAACTAAATAGAAGAATAAAAATTGAAAGGAATTACATGAATCAACAAGTAAAAGTGTAAAACAGAAACTGATTTCAATTTATTAACTACTGATTCAATGGAGAAAAATTTAAATCTAGAATTTTCTAAAGAGAGTGAACTTGAACTGAGCTAAGGTAAGCTAAATCAACGAGTTTACTACAAAATCTAACAAAAAATTTGTAGCAAAATAAGAAAAAAAATAGCTCAACAAACTAAGATTCTAAATAGTGTGCAAATAAGTAGAAAACAAAGCATGATTAACAAAATTAATCTAAATGACCATCAAAGACATAAAATAAATTGTAACAAAATAAAAACAAGTAAGATAACAAGTAAATCTGAGAGATCGAAGGTTTAAAGGAGCAAACAAATTGCCTAGAGGAGAGAAGAACCAAGGTTTAACTTGAATTGCACATCTGATTTTCACTGCCTCCAAAATTTCAACCTTAAATTTTGAGAATTAACTATATTGATTGAGAATGAATTTGATAATAATTTTTCACTATGTTGAATCCTACAAAATCTAACAAAAAATTTGTAGCAAAATAAGAAAAAAATAGCTCAACAAACTAAGATTCCAAACAGTGTGCAAATAAGTAGAAAACAAAGCATGATCAACAAAATTAATCTAAATAGCCACCAAAAACATGAAATAAATTGTAACAAAATAAAAATAAGCAAGGTAACAAGTAAATCTAAGAGATCAAAGGTTTAAAAGAGCAAACCAAATCTCCTAAAGGAGAGAAGAACCAAGTTCCAACTTAAATTGCACACCTGATATTCACTACCTCCAAGATTTCAACCTTCAAATGCAAGAATTAACTACACTGATTGGGAACGAATTTGAAATTAATTTTTTACTATGTTGAATCCTAATGAGTTACAAAACTGTGAAAAAAATTAGACAAAAAAAAGTACAAATGATTGAGTTCTGATTAACATATTACTACTAGATCAAGTGCAAAAATGCATAAACAAATTTGAAATCAACCATAAAACTTGAAGATTTGAGCTAGAAATCAACCAAAATTACAAATTTCATTACCAAAATTGTAAAGAACATTGAAAAATACTTAAAGAAATATAAAAGTATAATTAAAATAAATAGAAAAACATAAAGATCAAGGGCTGTTTGATTATTAAGAAAGTAAAATATAGTAAAAAAAGGTACAAAAATTATAAAATCCTAAACTAAAGTCTCCCTAAAATGGCTGGCTCCACTCCTATTTATTGGTAGGTTGAAGCCCTAAAAAATATTTACAAAATATCTACAATGAGTTGAGCTTTCCAAAGACTTTTTTCCTCTTTACTTCTGCACTTAGTGCATAATTGTTTGGCTTTAAAACTTTTCACTAGTTTGCAAGTTCTCTTCATGCACTTTTGCCATGCCAAAAGTCTTATTTATAGCCAATAAGATCATTCCAAAGTGCCAACCCATGCGCTCCTTAAAAACTCTTTTAAGTTTCAAAAGATGGCACCAAAGTGCATTGGTTACATGTCTAACTTCCAATGTGTATGCTTACATCCTTATTCTCTCCTTTTGGCATTAAATGCATCCATTTGTTCTTTAATTTTTCTACCAAAATTCAAGTCATAAAAGGAAAAATTTATACATTATAATGCTTGAAAAAATTCTAGAAATTTACCACATAAAAATTAACTCCTAACTTACTAATGTGCACATTAACTTTTAAGGATGTATTCAAATCCTAAAAAGATACTAATGCATAATTGAGATAAGGAAGATAATTCTAAATTAAAATTACAAGAATTGGGACTTGAAATATGTTCCATAAATTCATTTGAGCTCAAGATATTATAGAAGAAAAAAGTAAGAAAAACTCCTTTAATAGGCAATGAAGCACAATTACACTAGTTGTGACATTTGCTAGCATTTACCACCATAAATCCCTCTAAATGTGTCCAAATTGTCTGAAATTCCTCATTTTCTCTATCTATATCTACACATGAGATAAATGTGCATTCAAGAGCACTTTTACTAAAAATCCTAAAGAACAAGCTAAAATATGAATTAAATTGCACTAAAAATAAGTATGAAAAAGCTAAAATTTTAGTACAATCACTAGGCATGAGGATAAAACTTCAAGAAAAACCATGAGTCTCACATCAAACATGTGAGTCATGTTAATAATTACTCATAGGTCTGCTTAGCCTAACCTCAAGCCTCTTTGACATAAAGTCACTCACCTTGGCAACCCTAAAAAGACTGGCTATGCATATAACTCGAAACCCACACTCAAGATGAAGCTATGCACTACGCTCACACGTCAAGTCGACACATTCTAGAGTAACCAAAGTTACACTCAATAGCATATAATCAGTCACAGACCTCTCTTACCTAACTCTCACATCAACCTCAATGACATTTAACCTTGGCAAAATAAGGTCAGGTCCAAAACATTACTTTTCAAAAACCCATGCTTACAAGCTTAAGGTCAAACTAGCGAATATGTGCATCAGAAAGGTTTGATCTAGCGCCAATCAATTTGATACTCAAGCTGTTCGGTGGGAGGATAAAATGTTATGGGTGGTTCAAAGGGTAAATTGGTCATTTTTTTGATCAGAGACTATCAGTAGACGACTAGGAGCAATTTTGACTTTTGGACCGACCTGACATTTACAATAAAATGTCAGCTTAGCTACATCACTATTCTACCTCATAAATCCCCTCATCTTTCTCCTATAAATAAAACCATCTAGGTACTATTAATCTAATCTCACTTTTTCTAACATTTCTATTTTCCTTTCTTTCCAACTTTTCTAGTCCTAGCCCTTGACTTAAATGTCGGAATGCAAATACAGGGAATGCCTCATGCCTTTTCCCTAATCGCTCTTTTTTTCTTCTTATGATTTTAAGATTTTGACCCTCAACTTGAAGCTTGACACCAACATATTTATTTTTAATCTAATTTTATTTTTAATTTGTATTTTATGATTAGTTGACGTATTTGTTAGAAAGATATGTCACTGAATAAGTGTAGTAAAATTATTATCAATCCTATTTAAGATATCATGAAGAGAATGACATAATGAATAAGTTTGATATCTCATCACCATTAAGTTCAACTCTTTTTCTTTTATTTATTATTCAATATTTAAATTGATAAACATATTTTTTTTACTCCTGTAGTGAAGCACAAGCATGAAACTCTAAAAATTATGCACTATGGCATGGATTCAAGGTTTTTTTAATATTATATGTAATGTAAATATGAAGATTAACTCAGTTTGTTCATATAATTATTTTTAAAAAATGATATTCAACATATTTAAAGTTCAAATTTTAAAACATGTAATTTTTATCTTTATCTCTAGGTTGCAATATCTTATGTAACAAAAAAATATTTTGGAAATTTTCATTTTAAACAATTGCAGCAAAAATAAAATTAATTTAAAATTCTTTTTTAATTAAAAAATGGTAACATTAGTTAATTCTTTTTTTCTTTCGAACTCTCAATGAATCAATTGTATTTGAAATATTTTGGGTACATGGCTACCGGCAATAGTTAATTATTAGAATTAGATTGGTTTTGGAGAACCACAATGTTCATAATGACATGATATATATCCATCACAATATGGGATTGGGCACAACTCCTAATTGTATCCTGATTCCTACAGTTGATTAATCTCTCTCTCTCTTTCTTTTTAATTCTTAATTATTAAAATTAAAATTTTATTATTTTATTATTAAATAATATAATTAGTAATAATTCTTTTATAAAAAAATGCAATACAAAAAATATATATAATTAGTAGCAATTTTTAAAAAAATGCTATTCGAGTATTAAAAAATAATTATAAATATTAAAATTTTAATTTTAATTCTGCTTATATCACATTTATAAAAGAAACTGTATAAAACAACTTAATTACGTCGGATTCAAACTTTTCGTTTCACCTCCACCAAACTTCATTGTTTTTGTTTTTTTTTTTTTTTTTTTGGGTGAAATATTGAAATAATTTCACCAACTTTAACTTCTTATAGCACCTCGTCCCACCCTCTTCCAACACAAGCTGGGTAAAGTTTCTTCGGATACCTTGAGCTACCGATTCTTATGCTAATCTACCAAAAAGAAAAGCTGCATTACTTCTTTAATTTTGATTTGAAAGACCCATTTTCATGCTTTTGGCTAAGCTCAAGATGCAAAAGAAGGGGGCAACTAGGAGAAAATCTTGAGGGTTTTGGGTGGGTAGTAAGTACTGATATTAGAAAAATTCATATAGTAAAATATTATGATTCAAGGCTAATACATACTACCACAGACAAATTCCAGAATAGTTAAAACTGTAGGAACAAATTCCTGGGGAAATAGCCTAGATAACCACCTTGTTTCCATAGAAACAAATAAAAAATGCCAAAGATCTTTAAAATTCCTCTACACATTTCACATTGATACCATTTGTACACATTTTATTAAAAAACAAAACAACAGATGTTCCAAAAGAGTTGCTATCTTTGTCACCCCACAGAGCAATAATCAATCTCACTTTCATTAACCACATTCTTTTCATTTCCTTGCTAACAAAGCTGAAAGAGATCCCAAACAAAATTTCTTCATTTATCTGTTTGCTTTCAGAAAGAAACATACGCCGACCAAATCGAGCAAGATAGCAAAATAAATCAAAACATAGCACTTAGTTTTGTATTGCCTCACTCTTCTCTCCTTGATTGCATACTCCGTTTCCTGATAACTTCTAACAATATCTGATTCCAAGTATCTATAGGACCTGGCAGACACCAATGTACACAATCGTTCTGTACGTGCTGTTGAGCTCCGTTAGCAAATGGAAATGGATACATGTAAGGCCCTGGATGACCATCCGGCCTCATTAATGATAATTTGGACACATCCAATATCTCTAGCCTCAACCCTCCAAATTGCTTAGCATATATCTTTGCAGCCTCCATTTCTTCAACCCCAATTGCTCTCATATCTGCATCCATTCCTTCAAGCATCTTCTCTCCCTCCTTGTAAGGTTTTGTCTTGGGACAAGCACCAGCCTTATCCCATTCACCTTCAAAATGTGAAGGTGAAAATGTGGTCAGAAACACATCAACTCCATTACCATTAGCCCCTTTCCTTTCAATTATTGTCTTAAGTGCAGTCTTTATGGCCTTGCTCATCACATCATAAAATCCTATCTCAGTGTGATTTAGTCGAGGGCAGTAATGGCAACCTAATATCGAACCACCCTCATAATAAACTGCAGGATGAAGAAACCAATGCCCTATTGAGAGTACAATCATATCTATATGGTCCAAATCAGCCCCCCACCTCTCATCAACAGTATTCACATACAATTCGTTATGATCTGGACCAATATTTGATTTCTCAACACCTCTAACCAGAAATGGTGACCAGTAAACTGATATAGTAATGTTATGAGAAGCAAAATGCCATCTACGAAACTTGTTATCCTCCCCATCTTTATAAACCAGGTTAGCATTTGAGGCAGCGGCTAGCATGCAAAGAAGTGATTCCAGTTGGTTCCTAGCCATGGAATCACCAACAAAAGCTAAATGCTTGTTACTAAAGAGGTTCAAGAAAGTGTTGGGATCAAACCTGGAGAGCTTGCATTGGCTTGGTTGCCATCTCCAATAAAGGTAACCCAAGTCAGGTCTCCCATGAGAGATGCAATTCTGACCGTCCTTAATTGTATCACAGGTTGTGCCATTGTACAAAGGCCCCATCTTGTCATGTACCCATCTGCCATTGGTGTAGTCACATGGAGTTTCATAAGCTATTTCCTTTTCTGCAAATAAGCAGAAAAAAAAAAAAAAGAAAGAAAAAGAAAACTTATTCAGTAATAACACCCATATTTCAACACAATAAAAAGACCATCACTCGGACAAGATAAAAATTCTGACAACTTTTCTTTTCTTACTTAATGTACCTTTGGAGAAAGATAAAGAAAGAGGAGGAGAAGAAGAAGTGGTGAGGATGAGGCGATTGTTGTGAGGAAGCTGATCTGTGGTAGATTGAGGGAGAGGAAAAGGGTGACAGTACAAGCGAAAGAGAGCTATGGGGAGGAGAGCATAAAGAACATAAGACAAGAACTTCTTGGTGAGCGAATGAGTGTGAGATTGACCTTTGAGTGGACTTATTACACCCATATTTGATAGAGAATACTTGCTATCTCAACCGGTTGCTCTCCTCATTTTCTCCTCTATTTTCTAGGGTTGTTTTGGCTTTGGTTCAGAATTCTAGCCGAAGAACATTGTGGAAGTAACAAAATGTGTTCTTGAACTAGTGGCCGAGAAAGTGGAGGAAGCTTGTAGGTTTGCGGGGCGTTTCAGTCAAAGTGGCATCGAAAGAATCTTATTTCTCTATGTGAGTTGGCCAACTAACCCAGCGCGAAACTGTTGTTTATCACTGTTTTTGTTGTTGTCGTCTTATCCCTGTTAAAACATGTGCCACTCTCATGTCTCGAGTATCTACACTCTACGCCGTGCTCTTACTACCTACATTTTTCAATTTTTAAAATCTTTTTTATATTTTACCGCTGCAAGTTTGCCTTTTTCTTTACGTGTGGACATTAATTAAATATATATACCCTTTGCTTTTGTTTCTGTCACTAATAATTACCTTACTCAGTCATAATGAAGGGTGTCAAAAGCCAAAATCACCCTTCTATAAAGGTAACATTATTTGCTTTATAAATGTAAATATGTCATTTTCAGAAGGTAGAAGGATTGTAATAAATAAATGTCTGCTACTAAACCCAATTCATATCATCAATCAAACCAATTACTTACAACAAACTTTTGAGTCTTAAAGAGTTTTAATTCTAATTGAATTGGTTGGCAGGCACTGCATATTGATTATACAAAATGATTTCAAACAGAAGTTGATCCTTCAGGACTTCTCTCTAATATGGTGTCTTCATAAACAAAACTTGATATGTTCCCTTTGGCAACGTCACCACAGAAATTTTTATACGTGTTTAATTATGAAACACGGTTGCGACGTGATGATGAGAAGAATCTCTGTATTATAAAGAAGTTTATAACACAAGACTTCTAGGTAACCTCATATATTATTATGTTTATGCTTGTAATAAAAGACACCTGAATATCTCTGTATTAAAAAAGACTTCTAGCAAACAGTGGACAACGGTTGTTCAAGCAAGCACTCAAGTTCGTAGATTGGTTTGGACTCATGAGTACTGTCGTACTGATGTATATAAACCAATACGTTACACGTAAGATTGGTGTTCAAAGGAAGGGAAAATGGTTAACCATGTTTGAATTTTAATTTTTTTTTTCAGGAAGAGTTAATCAAAGACTTGAATTCATTATAAGCTGCAGTACTGATTAATGTATTAAGTCATAATAAGGGTAAGCATCGATGGCTGGTTGACAAAAGTTTTTTGATGGTGAAGGAGACTTTAAGTCCTGGCTTGAAACATCAATTAATTTTGGGATATTTCCCTTTTTATTTTTTCATTTTTGTGGTGTTAATTGTTAAAATTTGTGGTGAATGAACGAAGCTCTTGCTTAACTCACCGACACAAAATTTTTGGCTGATGAGCATTGAATATTATGTAATAAAATCTTGCCTTGACTTTGAGAGGAAAATATGAGCAATTTTAACGTCGATGATCGTTAAAAAGTATTACCATGACAGACAAAGATTGGCTTTGAAATCTTTTAGATCTAAATTTGGGGAAATAATGTTCCTTTAGCTTTACATTGAGGACAAATATTTCTGATTTAGTAAATTCATATAGATCTAACTAACACATTTTTCTTTTCTTTCCTCCTGTTCTATCATGCTAATTATAAATAGGCAAAAAGACAAAGGCGTATGCTTAAGCCACCGACACAAAATTAAGAGCTTTTGCTGCTTGTTAAAGTTGATCGATATTCAACCATCGGATTGCAGCCGATTAATAATCCATCAAAGGGTCTCTGAATTGTCAAATGCTCCATTTCAAATGACTGGAAAGCTGCTTCTATTATTTAGGGATATGTTGGCTGCTAATATAGGAATTCACCAGCAAAACTCAAAGGCATCAAAATTTTCTTCATTAGTCTACTATAGTCATTCACATGACATTTTTTTTTATACAAAAGCAATGGCAATAGGAGGATATACATATATATATTATAAGTATGAAAATTAAATTTTAAATTATTAAATATTAATTTTCAATAGATATATATATAAATCAATTAAATTAACGGATTCCATTATTCATATTTTTTAACACGTGCAATATTAACAGTTTGTCGTCAATTGTGCAGATTCAGTAAGCTTTGTTTATCGTTTTGCCAAAAGAGGAGATGCAAAAACGGAATATAATACAAAGAAAAACAAGAGTGAATTGGATTTAGAGGGTCTAGATCCTGGTGCATGGATGACATGACGCCCCTGAAGGGGCGGTGACCAGCTAAGCTTTCCTAATAGAATATGATATATGAAGGGACGACCCTACCGTGGGTTCCAACAACCCCAATCACAAAGTTGCCCCACTTCCATTGGTCAGAGTCTCATCCCACATGACCACTATTTACATAGCAACAGCCCCTACCATTACAACTCACACGAGACATCTTGATTCCAAATTGAAAACTCCCTGGAAAGCAACAATATACTCTGTTGGTCTTTCTCTAGATGTACTAAACGAAGTTGAAATGAGACAGGGATACGTTGAGAGGCATATCAGTAATAAATGATCCCACCAACTATTTCCGGGTCAGAATCTTTTTTTTTTTTCATTAAAAAGGAAGTGTTTCTTAACGTTTATCTTAGTGTATAAAGTTCAATGTGAAACAAAATGAACTTTACTAATTTCAAAGGGTTAGAATAATAATGCCCATAATTGTAGAATTGCAAATTTCTATGTTCAAGCAATTGGTTACAAATCAAAATTGATCATTGGTTCCTTGGATCTAATTGTTGGGAAATAAATGAATCTAGTTGTTGAGAAATAAACACATACAATATCTACACATAAAATAATAAATTAAAAAAATAAAAACATATAAATATATTTATTTCAGTTCAATCTAAAATAACTTACTCCAAATTTAATTTACTAATAAATAAATTTTTATAATTATTAAACTTTTGGAATGAAACAAGTCACAAAAATTTTTTTACTCAAAACTTAATCTAAAATCTAATTATACATTTTTAATAGCCTATGCATTTAGTTGTTTTTTTATGTCTAACTATTTGGGATTATCAACTAAAATCAATGTATCTTATTTATAAAGGTAAAACTCTTTATACTTTTTCTAAACTTTCGATATGAGATACTGATAAACTCTCAACTATTATAACTTTACTCAACTTTCAATGTAAAATTAAAAGATTCGAGGCAAACCTTAACAAATCCTCCCTTAACTTAAATCTCCAAACACTAGTCCTTCATTAACTTAAATCTCAAAACACTTCAATAGTATCTACAAAACTAATAACTTACCCTTTTTCTTTTCTTTTGTTGCAGGAATCTTAACAATTGAGCTTTCATTAAGTATATACAAATGATTTTTGACCATATTCTCTTGTAAAATCACACTATCATTCTTGTACACTTTACACTAATTATTTTGTACGTAGTATACATGTCCAAGAGAAGCTAAATCACATAAAGTAATCAAATTGCAACTATAATTTGATACAAATCTTACATAATGAAACATCCTAACAATGCCATTTTGAGATCTAAGGCGAATATTTTCAATGTCTTAAATCTGCACTTTTCATTGTTGGCAACCATAATATCTCCATACTTCTTATTTTTTTTTCAACTTTATAAAGTAACTCCTATCATTGCAAATATGAACTGTAGTAGTTAAATCCAAAACCCAACTTTTATCACCTTTTAAAGTCGGAGTCTCATTCACACAAGCCATCAAAATGACCTCATCATCATCGAACATAATAGCAATAGCATCACTCTTTCTTTCATCCGATTTTTTCTCATTATTCGCTCTTTTGAAAAGTAGTCATATCCCTTTTCAATTTCTTGTAGTGCATTTGGATATGTCCTTTTCATCATAATAGTAACATTTTATATCACCGTAATATCTATCTTTTAACTTGGCTCTTTTTTTTATCTATCAACCTTTTTTTGAGATCTTCTTTAATCATAATCCTTTACAGCTAGTATATTTCCTCTAGGTGATGAGTTTTGTGTTCCCATAAACTTTTGATTCTCATGCAACTAGATAGTCATATCATTCAACTTTAAAGTAGATTTACCTACTAACAAAGTCTAAACTAAAGGTCTATAAGACTTAGGCAAAGATGACAATAAAATTAAAGTATTCCCTTCATTTTCTAACTCATCAACAAAAATAGTCAGCAATTGAGAAACTAACCTATTAAACTTATTCAAGTGATTATGAAGACTCATACATTATTTCATATTCAAAGAATATAGATTCATCTTCAAATATAATTTATTAGTCAATGACTTTGATGCATAAATAACCTCAAACTTATCACATAACCTCTTTAAAGTACTTATAGTAAACACATTGTACTTTATCTTTGGGATTAATGCCAATCTAATAGTACTAATAGTTTTTTTTTTAAAATTTATTCCAATTACTGTTAGATATTCTTTCATGCTTACTACTTTTAAAGCCTAATTTAACCACTGTTACACTAACAGCTCTTGAATCGTACTTTATCATAACATAAAATTACTTTTTTCATCAAATAAGAGAATTTTAAACTTGGACATAAGCATACTAGATATACCTTCTTTTAGACATTTTGAAATACTTACACTGTCTTCACGATCTCTTAGGCCTACCTCTTATCTTTCACATCTCAAATTTCACTCTGATATCATTTATTGAGAAATAAACATATACGCGTAACACTTACACATAAAATAGCAAACCTAAAACAAAAACAAGAACACATAAATATATTTGTTTCAATTCAACTTAAAATGGTCTACTTTAAACTTAATCCACTAACAAATAAATCTTTACAATTGTGAGACTTTTGGAATAAGAAAAGTCACCAAAAATTTCTTACTCAAAACTTAACCCAAAATCCAATTACACTATTTTAATAGTCTACTCACTTTGCTATTTACTTGGTGTCTAACTATTTAGGATTACCAAACTAAAACCAAAGTTGAGTATTGTTATAAGAGTTGAGAGTTTGTTTCGTATCCTACATTAGGAGTTCAGTAAAAGTATAAGAGGTTTCACCTTATAAATAAAACTATGTTAGTTTGCCCTAAATGATGGTAAGAAAAAAAAAAGATTCAAGATACATTGTAGCATCTAAATGCTTATTTAGCATTAAGAGTTTTCAAAAAGAACAAGTTGTGCTGCTAGTACATTCCTTTAAACGGTTATCTATCATGGCTTTTTGTTGTTTGTTAGTTATTAGATGATAAACAAGAGAAAAATAATGTTAATGGGTTTCAGATAAAGTAAGGTCTTTTTTTTTTTTTTTCCAAAGTAAGGCCTTGTTGCAAAACAAGGAAAAAAAAAGATACAAAAAATAATAACCATTGTTTATAAAAATATTTAATGGTGAAGTAAATGGCAGATTGAGATTATTAGCTTACTAAACCACATAAACAAATATCATAATTTTGTTGAACTCCATAAAATCTATACCTCTATACCTATATATGAAAGCTATTCTTAAGGGGTTAGTTTTTCCTACACTCGTCTAAGTTACAAAAGTATCATTTTATCCTTTAGTTAAAATAAAAAGAATTTGAAATCCTAAGTTTTAATTATTTAAAATTAAAATATAATTAACATTTTCAAAAAGCTAATTTGGAAAAGGGAATGAGAAAGCTGAAAGGATTTTGAAAAAAATTTTCTTTTCAATTTTGGTGATTAGTGGATGGTTAATTTCATTTTGGTACCGACTGTATTGGTCAATATGTTTCAGTTATACCAGAATATAGTAGACTTAAGGATAACTTTTTGTATTAGATTTAATATCTTGTAATATCAGCTGTTTTCATTAGTTTCGACTGATTTTTAGTGAATTTTGGTAGATTAGCATGTTTTAACCAATACGTGAATGCGAAATATATTTTGTAATTTTTAATTTTTTTTTGTTGTTTAACTATTTTTATCCTAATAAAATAAAATTAATTGACAAAATAACACTTGAAAGTTGAGTTTTTTTTTTAAAATTTTTTTTACTGTAATTTCTTTTCTTTTATACTTTATGTTTTCAAACTAAAATTTATAATTTTATTTATTATTTTTTCAAACCAAAGTTTATAAGTATTTCAATCTCTTTTAAAAAAATAATTATACTCCTTTTATAAAGTTTAATAATAATAAAATCTTAATTAATTTTTTCATCTATTTTTTTATCTTAATATTTATATGAAAAATACTTATTTAAATATCATATGATCAGGTTAAGTATTTAAAAATATCATGAAAACTTTATGATATTATTTTTTGTACTTATAAATTTATTTATTTGATTTTTGAAAATATTGTATATTTATTTTGTAAATTATTAATAGTATTATATTGCACAAATTTATATATGTTTATAAATATATTTATACTAAATTGAAAAATCTAAAACAATATATTAAAATAATTGATACCGATATATATCATATTTTTATAAAAAATAAAAATGTTGTCCAAATATGATATTAATAACCTTGGTTGCTACGCAGAAAAAAAAAAAATTGTAGAGAGAAGAGAGAGGAATTTGACGTAGAGAGTAAAAGGCAGAGTAAATAATTGAAAGAAGGTTGCTCTATTTTGAATTTTTATCCAAAACCAAAATGTTGTCGCTCTATTTAAGAGAAGAAAGCGGATGTCCCGCTAGAGCAACCTGACCCACATTCAGATTCAACCCGTATCTGCTCCCATAGCTGGCAACCCACTTGCTTCGAATCAAGCCCAATTGGATTTCATCAACAACTCCAAATTTGATTTTTTAATATTGGGTTATAGTCCTATGTTAATAATATATAATAAAAAAATTTTATTTACGCTATCATTTTATAATATAAAAAAATGATAGCATAAAGCTAATATGTTAATTAAGATTATATTGTCTTTGAAATATTTTTTATTTAACACGTAAGATGTTTATTGTACAAGAGCTAATATAATACATGAAAATTATGTTAATGATTAATTTTTTAGTTGAAATTTTGAAAGTTGAAGATTGAAAACTAAATCTTTGATGGACACATTCATATATTTATCATTAAAAAAATATTTAAATATTTATTTCATCTTTTACCTTCATTTTATGAAAATAAATTTTAGAAAAATTTAATTAATTATATCAATTAAAAATATAAATATTTTAAAAATTAAATAATTTAAATAATTTTTTATCCTACAAAGAAGCACAAATAATATAGCAGTGCACGGGAAAAAAAAAAATTCACCTAAATTCTGGCCTCCGATAACGTGCATTTGCAAGGACGCAAGCGCATTCCTATTTTGAAAGGTCAATTGTGCGACCTTTCCGGTAGACCGAAAGGTGACCGAAACGTGCTTTTATACTTGCATGTTGCCATTCCTTACTAAAAACAATTTATACTATATATTGTTGTAAAAGTAAAATATTAAAATATATTAATGAAATTAAAGATAAATAATGAATATTAATATTTTTGTAACACATATTTAAAAGAATAAATGATTATTTAATGTATTCTTATTCTCAAAGATGAAAATATTCAAAATTTACATTTTTTGCCATGGTCAGAAATGGGTTGATAAATTGTAAACGGCCCAAATCCAACTAATAGAATTTGGGCCCATCTCCCATTATTATCTTGGTCTTCAACAATAAAAAGAAGATACAGAGAAGCAGAGAAAGCAGTCAGCTCGGCACAGTTTAAACAAGGGATGGATGGTGAGGATTTCGCGGTGGGATGCTTCCTTTCAATCAAGACAACTTTGGGCGACGAATTCGAAGGCCAAATCATCAGTTTCGACCGCCTATCGAACATCCTTGTATTTCAAGAGGGTTCGAAATCAGGACCCAGAAGGAACATTCGGCTGCTAAAGGCTAATTATATTAAAGAGTTCTCTTTATTGCGTCAAGATGAAGATCCACTTGACGTCAAAAAGTGTTTTTTAGACCTTACTAGTCTTCAGGCAAGGGAAGATTCTGCTATTAGGTAATTGAATTTATCGTTAATTTCTCAAAAATAAAAAAACCTCATATCTAGTTTTTTGTCTTATTGAATTTCATTGGGGGTTTTTTTTTTCTTGGTTTTTCAGGAAAGCCGAGGCCGATTCTGAAAGGTTTGGAGTTGGAGTTACCAGTGAGGCACAGAGTCTTTTTGATGCTTTGTCTAAAACGTATCTCCTTCTTCCTTTTTTCTTTTTATTTCAATAATCAGTACTAGTATTATCTATGTCTAGTTTTTGAGTTTAAGAGCAAATTCGCATGCTTTGGGGAAATTTTAAGGGATTGTTATTTATAATTATTTTTCATAAGTATGCAGATAAGAAATTGACTTTATATTGTTTTAGGACTGTATCATACAATTTTATAAACCTCATGAGAGCATAACAATGGTAAACTATGTGGTAATCTGCAATGGTACTCACTTGCAGAAATGATAAATGTTATTCTTAGGAAAAGTATTCTGTTAAGTACCTCGAGGAAGTTAACAAATGCTTATAGGTTATGATGTAATTATTTCACTGTTCATATGTTGTAACTGAAGGTAGCTTTTGTATTTGACATCAAAATGAATGAAGGAAACAACAATAGTTAAATAAGGCTTTGTACTTTTAGTAATATGTTGAACGTTATTAAGATGTCCCTAGTTGATGAATAACTAAGATGGTACTAAAATTATTATAAATGTTTAGTCATATTAGCTAATTCAGGAGGGATTGGGGAGGAAGGCATAAGGGAGAAATAGAGGGGGAAGGACCCTGGGGTAGGTGAAGAGTATCAGGATGTTTCAAGATGCATGAGTATTTTTTGAGACCTTGTTGTAATAATAATGGATGAAATTGCCTAACCCAAAGCCTTGATAGTTATCAACTTTTGATAATTATAAAACCATCAGAATTTTTATTCTAAATGAGCTAGGATTCTTTAAGTATCTGCTTTTTTTTTTTTTTCCAAAATATGTTTCCAAATGATCTGGGTTCAGCGCTTTCTCCTGAGACATATCAGAATGATCTGGGAAGTGGAGATATCTGCTTCCCCCCTTTCATCCCCCCAAAATCGCAGTATTTAAGATTCATTCTCGACCTTTGCTTATGGAATAAATTTCTGAGGGGCTAATTTTTGTCCATATGGGCTTCCTTGAAGTTCATCAGTGTGTTGCTGTGGATAATTATGTTCAAATTTACAAATTTTACATTAACTCCAATGCATATGATCAGGCTTCCTGTCCGCTGGGACAAGACTGTTATTGTTGTAATGAATGAGGTGCGTGTGAGCAGTCCATATCTCGCTGAGTCTGTTAGTGGAGGAACTCCTGCAGCCAATGAACGGGTGAAGAAAGTGGTAAGACACTCAGAAGGATCTGCTGTATCTTTTTGCTGGTAATATGATTAGTGTATCATTTATTTATGTTAAGTTTATTTTTCAGCTGGAGTTTGAAAGGAAGAGGATGCAAACTCGTGGTACCAGTCAGTGATGAACTTATTTGTGTTATCCAAAGGTTGGTGAAACCAAAAAAGTGCTATGATTGGTACATATTGGTAGTTATCTGACCTTGCATTTTTTACTGTATTGAAAGAATTAAACAAATACCTTATAATGAATTGTTAGTTCTAATATCATGCTACTTCTACCTTTTTTTAGATGGGCTTGTTAATGAGGGCAAGTTGGTTATTGTTTGGATTTGTTAGCAACTTTGCTTTATAATCTATTTCCAGCTGTTCTTAGATGCATATGCCAAGCTTGTCATAACATTTCTCTTTGTGAGAGGGGATTGGAAGAATTTGATTGGTTGTGCAAGTAACTAAAGGTCTTATCTGTATAGCGGTTTGATAATTATTAAAGAAATAATTCCGTTCAATTTGTTAGAAATTATCTTTCTCACAGTTAATCACTAAGGCTTTTGGTAGAGTGGATAGAAAATTGAAAAGAGATAAAAGTGGAAAGATGAAGAACATTTTTTTTCTTTTCATAGTATGACAGGTAGGAAAGATGGAATAGTGGAAGGAAAAAGTAATATTATTTTGCTTGGTAGGATTTAAAAATAAGAGAAAAGAAAATGAAAATTATATTATTTTGCCATTATACTCTTTGTAAGTTAAGATAAAAAGATATAATCTAAAAAATGATGAACAATCTTGTAAATATACACACCTAAATCACATTGCTCTCATTTTCTCTCCACTAATTTTTCAATTTGGAATGATTTGTTTCAATGAATAAGGATAGAAAATGACGATCTTTCCTACTTTCTTTGGTGTCACTTTTCTCTCTTACGAAGTACTAATGAGAATCATTTGCTTTTCACTTTCCCACGCACCCTCTTCCATCCTTCCACTTTTTTACTCTACCAAGCCAAGTTTTAATCTCAAATCTATACCTTAGTTAGTGCCCTAATTAGAATTTGCTGATAAAGGTGGACTGCATGGTACATACAGCAACATATTGAAATCTGATAAAAGGACAAGCTGTGGAAGATCAACCACATGCTTTTCTCTATGCTTATCCTTACTGCAAACGATTAATTTCATATTGGTCAAGTTTTTCACCTTGTTACTGTTTTCAAATCCTTGTTTATCATTTTCATTTTTTCCCCCTTTTCTCCTTGAGAAGGTTTTGGGTTTATGTGGAGAAAAAAATTTGATTGTTGAGTGTATGAGGTCGGGAGGAATGGGATAAGAAATGAATGCTATGGGAAGGGATAAGTTGAAAGTAGTATGGTGAAAAGAGATAAAAATGAATCCTACTATAAGGAATGAGATACAAATAGTACAGAAAAAACTGATAAGTTGTATGAAATAGTTTAATTTCATATGACTATGAGTAGTATAACAGTGGTAATAATTCAATTGAAAACCCTAAGGTCCTAGAGTAAGTTATGACTGTTAAAAGTGCATAACTGTAAATCCAAAGCTAAGTTCAATTGGTTTATGCCTCCATTCTGAGGAGATGGCATTTAATAAATTTGGAGTTCAAATTTCAACACTTGCAATCTCTTTCTTTCCTGCAGCCTTGTATATACCAAAAAAAAAATGCATAATAACCATAGTACATCCTGCTATTATTTTCCTTTTTAGTGGATTTTTTTCATTGATGTCAACCAAATGTTGCTGATGGATTATCATTAGTGGTATTATTTTGCAATTTTCTTGTGCCATTCAAAGTTCTCTAGGTCATGCCCAAGATTTCATGGTTTTTAAACTTCTGGTTACAAATTCAAGGGCAATGAACTCTGAATAACGAATAAGAAGCCAGTGTCTTACCAGAGACTTATCTTCTAGTAATCCTGCTTTTGGCGGTTCGAATAACATCTCATGGTTGAGGGTACTACATAGGTACACTAAATTATGTTTAGTAGAGATGATGGAAAAGGAGTAAGAAAGGATTTTTTAAAAAATCTAATCATTCCCCTTTTCTAGCATGCAAAGCTTAAGTAAAAAGGAGCCGAATGGTAAAAGCTTAATGGTTTGCCACGAGGGACACACCCCACCACTCTCTACTGCTACTAATACATTATTTCTATAATAGCTTATCCCGATGCGTTTTCGTTACTTATAGCAGCTAATTAAGGTAGAAGTCTAGGGGTCTAATCCGAGTTAGGGGTCTAATCCGAGTCTAATTGAGTTGAAATTTGCATTGAATTTGACTTGAAATTCGAAATTTAAATTGAGTTAAATTGATTTTTTTTCTTTTAATTTGTGCTTGACTTTAAAATGTAAATCAAGTTAGTCAAGTTTGATTATGCTTGAACCCTAATAAAATTTATAAGTTTAATTATTATGCTTGACTTCAGGCTGAATAATTTATGCACAAGCTTGAATTAAGAGAAAATTAAAATTTTTGTTTATAAATATAGTGAAGGTAAAATTTTAAATAGATAATTAAAATAATATTTATATATAATATCAGTGTATGTTATCAAAATATTTTAAAAATTTTGAATAAACTCGCAAACCATTTGAGTTTAGAAGTATTAGATCTTATCTCATTCGATAGTTAAAATTGTTTAAATTGTTCAAGCTGTTCAAGTTTGAGTTTTCATTCAATAATTAAAACTGTTCAAGTTCAAATTTAATTTGAACTCATTTTATTCGATAACTAAAATTGTTCTAGTTGTGCAAATTCGAGTTCTTGTTCATTAACTAAAATTGTTCAAGTTTAAATTCAGTTTGACAATAATTAAATCGAGTTTGAATGGAATTCGAATAATTTTGTAGCTAAACTCAGCCTGCAAATTAATAAGTTCATTTATTTACGCGACTGGGAGAAGGAATAATAAAATAACACGTGTATCAATCAAGCATAGAAGTTTCTCACATTCTTCATTGGATACTTCCCACTCTCGTAAAACTTCTCATATGCAATTCTCCAACTCCTGGCATAATAAAAAAAATAATACTAACAGGATCAAGGGTTACAATTTTAAACTTTTTTTTATCAATAATCTCATTACTTATCTTCCACTGAATAAAAGTTTGTGATATCTTATTTAAAATTGGAAGAGAATCTCCATGGATCTTCCCATCAAGAGATCTTAAAAACTCTGATCTTCGATAGAAGATCATTCCCCTCAATATCTACATCCTGAAGCACTTCCCAACCTGCAAACACTTTTCCTTCCGTTCACTTTCACTGTTTCACACAATTTGGAAGTTAACAGCCAGAATGCAACGCAGAACTGGAGCGTCGTTCCCTGCATATAGAATGGATTCATGTGACCCAAGACAGTCAAGCAGTTGAAGCCAGATTGATTTTCTCAATTTGTTCAAGTCTTAGAAATTCAAGATCACTCAGCAACAACTGAGTAAACAAATCACAAATCCTGTGATATAAGAACCGATAATTTTGCATCATTGTTGCGTCTTTCAACAACCTTTTAGCTATCCGAATTCTTTTATCATCCCTTGAAAGAGTCATCTTCTCGTGTCAAATTGTCAACTGGATTATCATTTTGTGCATCAAAGTGTCAAATTGTCAATTGGAGCTAAGCTAAGCGAGAAAAATGTAGACTTTAACGACCTATTTAATTGCATCATTAGGTCAAAAAAGTAATTAAACTTCGACCCCGATAAAACAAGCTAGTTAATGTCCTAGGCTAATTTGGTATAATATGACCATATTTTAAAAATAGAAACTCAGAAAAGCATTTTAAAACAAGGTCACTTTTGTGTAAAAAAAAAAAAATACTACTACTCTATTTTAACATTTTTGAATTGAAAAATGTTTACAAACACTAAACTATGATTGCATTTGCACTCTTCTTGCTATGTTTGTTTTGGTGATTAATGAATTAATATGTTTTTTTTTTTTTACTATTGAGAATGCTTTGGGGTTTTGGAGAAGTTGACGGGCCCTTGTTGTTGGGAATTAAAACCTTATCTCGCAAATCAAAAGTAATAAAATATACAAAGAATAAAAATATTACATAAAAACATCAAAGATTTATAGTGGTTTACTCTTAATATGAAAGCTATGTCCACTTTTAGAGTTGTTACAGAAATTTTACTATGATAAAGATGAAAACTTATAATGGAGAAGAATCATCTCTTATTTTCTATATTTCATCTAGTTCTCAAACTCCCCTTATCTCATTTTTCTTTTACTTTTCACTTCTTCACTTTATACTTGTACACTAAAGCACAAACTAAGGCCTTCTTTTATAGACGGTGTTCAAGCCTTCTATTAATTACAATTTCTATCAACTAATTATTATCTAACTTCTATTAACAATTTACAATTAATGGTGAAAGTTGCAACAACTAACTTCTATCTCCAACAATAAAAGTTAAATTTGTCTTCGCATTTTCTAACATTCTTCCACCAGGAGACTAATTCATTATCAACTATCTCTTTTTGTAGCAGCTATGACTTCTCGTTCTTTAGTAGAAAAGTCTAACTGAAATTGCACACAACTTTAGTTTCTCAGTTGTTAGAGTCTTAGTTAACATATCAGCTAGATTCTGATTCCTTTGAATCTTCTCAAGCATTAAGACACTATATTCTAAAGTTGATCTTATGAAGTGATATTGGATTTGAATAAGCTTTGTCCTAGTATGATAAATAGTATTTTTTGCCAAATTAATGGCATTTTTACAGTCACAATGCAACATATTTCTATCAAACTTATGACCAAGTTCATCCAAGAAAGATTGCAACCGTATCATCTATTTACTAATCTTTGTCACGGCAACATATTCTATCTTAGTAGTAGAAAGTGTAGCTATATTTTGCAACTTTGAAACCTAACTAATTGCTATACCACCCAATACATAAACATAATCAGTGATACTGTTTCTATTGTCTATATAGCCAGCCATGTCAGCATCAACATAACTATGCAATCTTGAGTTTGATTTATTGAAACGTAGAGCTAGATATGTTGCATTTTTTAGGTATTTAAGAATCCACTACCAATAGCAGAAGTATAAGGCATTTTAACGATGTAGGCTTTTTTTTGCTTTGTTGTAGGTGATTGATCTTTAGAAAATTTGAAATGACTAGCCAGAGGAGTACTCGTAGATATTGCTCCATTTATATTGAATCTGTAGAACACCTTCTTTGTATTTGTTTCTTATGATAGCTCAACGACTTCTTTATTTCTAGTGATTTTCATTCAAAAGATTTGTTTTGCAACACCCAAATCCTTTATTGAAAATTCCTCTGAGAGCTTTTTTTTTTTTTTAATTTTCAATTTCTTGATGCTTGTTCTGGCAATCAACATATCATCAACATACAATAAAACTATAATGTAAAAACCATCAAATTTTTTGATATAATAGTAATGATCTACTTGACACCTCAAAAAACCATTATTACAAATGAAGTTGTTGAACTTCTTATACCATTGTTTGGGAGCTTATTTAAGACCA